TCTCATTTTGTGTTGATTCTGGCGCCCCCTGTGGACAAAAGCGGTAGTGTTTCTACCACCTTGTTTAATTGATTTCAAGGGGAATCTGACATTATTAATAACCATACAGAAATATCCAACCTTCTCTGTGATGGTTTGTTTATGAAGGTCATACAGAGGAATTAGGATTAACGTGAGACTGTTTATAATCAGTTAAAAACTCATTGTAGTACTTTTATTTAAATGTTTTATACGACATTGAAACAAGAACCAATTCCCAAAAAGTGCAAGAATTTAAATTAAATTAAATATTTGCATTCATATAGAGGGTTTCTTCTTTAAATTATTTTTTCTTAAAAGGTGGATTAAGAACATCTGAGTTCACCATTTTTACGTTAAATTCCTGTTACAGGAGCAAAAGTGAGGAAAAGTGAAATTGTTTTGTAACCATTAAATGTGAGAACAGAAGAAGACGGCAGAGGACGAGGAGAAAAGACAAGGTGTGCTTTGATGGGGTGTGTGCGAGTGGACTCTCCTCGTCTGGCTACGTGTGGGCCGGCTTCCTCTCCAGGATGCTGCTACTTCCTATTCGTCTGATTGCTGATTGGCTGCCGTCCAGAGTGGACAGCGCGCACACACACACACACACACACACACACACAAAGAGACACAGACACCAAGAAAAACATCCTGTTCTCACTCTGAGCCTGAAATCTTCCTTCCTTTTCTTACCTTAAGAATCACAGTGCGTTCTCCAAACTTTAACACCCTCGCTCTCGCCGCTGATGTAACCAGAACAAAATGGCCTCCGAGGTTTGACGCGAGTCAACGGAAGAGTTACGAGGAGCAGATAAAGGCTAAAGTGCTTGACTCCGAGCCGAGGCGCAGATAAAGATGTTTTCTTTTCAGTTATGAAACTACTTAAGAGGAAAACGAACTTTTAAAGCACTCTTAAAGCAACACGTTCCTCTGAACACTTAACACGTCTGAGAAATGAGGTCGGTCTTATTTAACCAACAAACTCCACGTTTCTCACGCCCCAAACCTGGTTTTCAAACTAAAGTTTAATGTTAAAATGTGATTTTAGATCAGCGATCTGCAAGTCGTGATGCATTTAGGGTCTAGATTAAAATAGTTTTATTATGTAGCTCAGATAATAACACAACTACTTTAGCATGTAGGTCCGTTTACATGACTGCATCATGTTTAATCTATCATACTACAGGGTCCACAGGTGCTTTAACTTAACCCACTGGTTCCCAACCTTTTTCCCCTAGGGACCCTTTTCTATCATTAACAAAGTGACTCAGTGAGATATTTTCTGGGTATTTCATATTATATTCAAACTGTACAATGAGCCCAAACAGGAAGTTTGTGTTAAACCAGAGATTTAGGTGACTTTTGAGCAGATTATTTCCTGTTTAGGGAACTCTTTATACAATTCTCTGTCTGTATTATGGATTTTTTATATTTTTAACAGTCATACAAACTTAATAGGATTCTTTTTTGACAAATTCACTGTTTTCTTGTCCCTGAAACTTCACCATTGTTCTACATTATATTTCTTCACAGAAATGAACCAAATGCTGAGCTATAGACCTCCTGTGTATATTTCCATTTAATTTTCTTACACGCCCTAAAATCAAGAAGGCCTTACGACCCCCTCATGAAGTTTTGTCGACCCCTAGTGGGGGTGAGGTCGGGAATCAATGTTAAAATGAGTCATATTATGAGATGCTCAATCAAAATGAGATATTTAGTCCAATTTATGAGATTTACTGAATCAAAAGTATACATTTTTTAACTTAATTAAATTCATATGGAGACTAAACAAGGAGATGGACATGGAGAACAAACTATGACGGAACAGCTTTACTGATAGCATCAATACATCCAGGTGAAATGAACCGGCTGACTCAACCGTATTCTTTGGAAAACTGTCAGCGGTGATGTAAACTTTATATGACTTGTAGGAAGATAAAACATGCAACACTGGCACTTTCAGGGTAACCTCTGGAACATTAGGCTTCATGAGGTCACTTGGAGGAGCTGCAATGTACATTTTCCTGACACGAGGAGAAACATTACGGAGGAAATCAGTTCAACATGACGCCTCCCTTCATATAAACAGCAGGACACGTACATATTGTTTATGGAGGAAATCTACTTCACTAATGTAATCCTTCACCGCTGAGGTCTCTGAACTATACGATGAGGACACACACACACACACACCTCGTCACGTACGCATGCTCAACACCTGACCGCTCCAACAATCACAGGTTAGAGGTGACTCTACTCTAAACACACAAACACACACATTGTGTTCTTCCGTTCCTTAACATGGCACACGATCTGAGAACTCGTTTCCAAACTTACCAAACTCTAAGAGATGATATTAGTGATATTTTACTGGCCGCTGCTGATTCAAACGTCAGGTTTTATATGAATAACTTTATAGTGAAAGAGTTTAATTCAGTTTGTCTTTATATTTTGTTTCTGTTTTGCCTTCAAACTAACTACAAATTAATATACAAAGAGGCGGGGCTTAAACGCAGGAAGTTACCTTTCTTGTAGTCCTGCAGCAGGTTTCATCCTGAAGGGGGAGGGGCAGGGCTTTAGCTCGTTACTGGCTGTCACCGGGGCAACGACGGCCTGGGGGGCGTGGTCACTGCTGCTGAATACGTGGGCGGGGCTGGGAGGAGAAGCACGGTCAGACGGAGGTTTATTTTAATAGAATTTGATTTTGGGATACATCGTCAGGTGACTTACCTGGGCAGAGGGACGACGGGAGGAGCGAGGCGGCGGCAGGCTACGATTGGCTGCTGCTGAGGAATGGGCGTGGCTACAGCTGGAGGGAGCTCAGCTTGGACCATGCTTCCTGACGTCACAACCTGGAGAACAAAAGGCCTCATTAATGGGCTCATTACTGTATGAATTTATAACGTGTATAGGCAGACAAGTCTGGTGCCCGACCTTGGTGCCCTTTGACCTCTGGGCGGAGTCTGGAGAGACAGTCGGGGTCAGGCGGAGGTCAGGGGGCGGAGCTTTCACCTGTCTGTCAGAAACCTGAACCTTCTCTTTAAGTCGGTACAAAACCTGGACATCAACAGGAGAGAAATAAATGATTATAATTTCTCTTTAAATGAAGAACTGATGAAGAATCCAGCAAGTAGTCATGTCCCGTGGAGTTTTTAGGGCTTTGTATAAAAAAAAAAATACAGAACAAAACTGTCCATTTTTAAACTTGTTTAAATCAGGAAACCTTTCTAAAGTTTGTTATTTTACACTGATTCATTGAGTTCAGCATAATTTATTAAATTAATGTCACTTCCAATTGAAAATATGTTTTTCTTCTTGTCTCCTACAGTTGGATGTTTGATCTTCACAGTGCAGAACGATGTATCAGGGTTCCCACTCTTTATATACTATATACTCATTTTCCAGGAGGTTTTCTTGACAATACAGGACAGCTCTTGCTTACAAACGGTCATATAAGCTGCAGTTTCAGGCCAATTTACTACATTAATTTGGCCAGAACCCATAAATAACAAATCAAATCAAGTAGAATTTGTTTTATTTTACAGAAAATTCATTTCTAAATGTTAATTGTATGTACAATTCACATCACTGAGCATGTATTCATCAACCACAGCAACAGGAAATGTTATCATTAATAGGCTGTATGTAGATATGAGAATTTCCCTCCTCAGAAAGATGCTAAAAAGATTCACTGAGTTTTAACCGAGTTTCAAACAGAATACACACCCAGGTTTATGTAGGCGATCTGAGTGAGTGGCTAAAATACAAAAACTGATTATTTCCAGGATATTTGGTCATTTTAATCAATTTTCAGTTGTTTCCACAACTGGAAAACTAATAAGTTTCTAGCTTTTCCAGGACACGTGGGAAC